ACCTGAGGAATCCTAGATGAGGAACGGTGTGCATCTCTTCTCCACACGTTGAGCTCCGATTTCCCGAGGAAAACCCGAGGAACACCCGAGGCAAGCTGCGAAACAGCTAAGGAGCACGGAGCCCCTCCCCAACGAAAAGGGCTCCTTCCTCCGCGCGCCGACGGCACCCCGAGCTGGCCCCGGGACGCTCCCCGCCGGCGAAAAACTCGAAGAAGACGGCGCCAGGATGGCCCCTCGGCTCCCCCGCGCGGCCCCCGGACCCCTCAGGACGGCCGCGAGACCCTCGAGGGGGCGCCCCGCGAGGCGATCACGGGCGCTGGCAAGGGCTGGCCATCGCTCGGACGTCCACTCCCTGTGCTTTTGTTCGGTTTCGTGCGTGGCTTCTTCGCTGAATAATCAAGGATGCTCCTCGATGGTTCTTCGCCAAAAGAAACATGCACACGTCCGGGCGATGCCAAGAAGGGGGGGGGGGGGGCACAACGTAACGCTTTTGCCCCTTACCGTGGCAGACTGTGGTGCCGGACGCACTGCGGCACAGTTTCGGGGGCGCGCTGGGGGGGGAGGGGGCGTCACCTCATGAGGGGAGGGGGCGCCACTTTATGAGGGGGCCATTACGCCCGTTATGGCCGAGAGGGCAACAAAAACACACTCTCCCAAATGGCCCCAAGAGGCAGCAAACGGCCCACAAAACTGTCCGAAAGGCCCCAGTGAGGTCCCGAAGGAGGCGGCTCCGAGTGGTCCGAGACAGGCCCCAGTGCCCGGCCGCGCGAACATGAGACCCTCCACCCGCCAAACACACGCACACACAGACTCACAGACACAGAGGCACACAGAGACACACAGAGACACACAGAGAATCACAGAGACACACGGAGGCACACGGAGGCACACGGAGACACACGGAGACACACAGAGACACACAGAGACACACAGAGACACACAGAGACACACAGAGACACACGGAGACACACGGAGACACACACGGAGGCACACACAGAGACACACACACAAAAACACACACACAGACACACACACAGACACACACACATATATATTTATACACACACTATGTATATATATACACACATATACACACACCGAACAGCCAAGGGTACCCTAATTACCCAGGATGCACAAAAACAACCAACAAACACGAAGAACACTAGGGTACCCTCCCCGAACCGACCTCGATCTTATAGCTCGATCTGACCGTATTCCAACCAAATCATTTGCTCGGGCCTTAGTCGGCGGCGAGCGAGGGGGGGAAGTGAGAAGGGGCGGGCCTTCTCAGAAGGCTCGGAAGTCCCACGGCCTATGACAAGTTTTCTAAGCCTTCCCGGAAGACACACAAAAAACTCTCAGAAGGCGCGAGGGCTTCTGAGAAGTCCCGCCGCCTTCTGAGAAGACCTTCTCCTTATCATTTCCCCCCCCTCGCTCGTCACCGCTCTTCGGCCCAACTTCGCCGACACATCGGAGCTGTCAAAGCATTGCAGCGCTTCTGGCTCTCGCCTGGCCAGGCACCGCCCCATGCCCATCTGACGCAGGGCTTCCCGCTGTGCTGCGGCATTTCTGTGGAAACACCTGGCGACTGCCACGCCGTCTTGGATGTGCTCTGGAATCCACTTCTGGACGCTCCAAGGTACATAATTGGATACGTTCAGATTTGGGGGAAGCTCGCGCGTGGACAAACCCAAAGCACTCCTCGACCACCCTCGGTCCCGTCGGGCTCTTTTTCTGCACATCTCGGGGCCCTCTGCGGCCCTCCTTGGCGCCCCTCGGGCCGTCTTGAGGCAATCTGAGGCCGCACACTGGCCACTTCTGGCCACCTGCTATGGCTGGGCGGTCTGGGGGTACAGTCGGGTCGTTGACCTAAGGAACCCAAAATAAGCAACAAGGCCCTTTTTTTCCATAAGTTAAACTTCGATTCCCATCGAAAACCTAAGGAAAACCCGAGGCAAGCTGTGAAACACTTAAGGAACGCGGAGCCCCTCCCCAACGAAAAGGGTTCCTTCTTCAGGGCCCCGACTGTACCCCGCTGATCTCCTGGGCCTGGTGTAGCTCCCCGCTACTTATTCAGAGGCGACGATAAGGGCGAATGGCCCAGGGGAGAGCCATACATGTGTTCAGGTGCGCCGGTGATCTATGTCTTCGGAAAAGCTCTGGGGCGAATGCGTGTAATGCCCGCCCCTGGGCTATTCGCCCCTATCGTCGCCGCTGGCTTACCCCTCTTCCCCCTCCTCCCTTTCCGGCGAGGACGAGGACGAGAACCTGTTTTGATCTACGTCGCCCGACTTCGCGCATGGCGCCCCGCGGTGCGCGACTAGCTTCGGGATACCCGCGCCGCCTCCGGCGCTGGACCCCCCCCGTCGTTGGCGCGCGGAGCGGGCCAACGGAGGAGGAGGAGGAGGAGGAGGAGGAGGATGAGGAGGAGGAGGAGGAGGAGGAGGAGGAGGAGGAGGCGGAGGAGGGGGGAGGAGGGAGGAGGAGAGGAGGAGGGAGGAGGGAGGAGGGAGGAGGGAGGAGGAGGCGGAGGAGGCGCCACCAGGGGTGGCCAACGCCGATCCAAGAAGTCCGCGCGGACCCTCGAAGGGTCCGTGTTCCTCTCGTTTTTCTGCTGCTGGAGCCATCGCGCGCACTTCGCGCGCGCTCCGCTCCTCGGGGGTCCCGGCTCGCAATTGGCCGTCGAGGATGTGGCGACGCCGAAGACGCTGCGGAAACATACCGCCTGAGCACGGAGGTCGCCGCCAGGAGGACGACGAGATGGACGAGGGGGGCGGTTTGGAGGTCGAGAAACGCGAGAAGAGCCCAGGAGCTTCACGGCGACGATCGGGAAGGAGGGGCAGGAGCAGAAGGAACAGTAGAGCCTTTGAAGACGAAGTACACGAGGGGGACACGAAGAGGAAGGGCCACCGTGCCCCTCGTCCACGTGCTCCCCTCCTAGTGGCCTTCTGCCCATCCTGCCACCGTGCCTGGGTTGGTGGTCTGGGTGTCTTTGGGGAAGCCTCTGGGCAGCCTCTTGGAGGCAGTGTTGAAGTCCCCCTGGGGCGCCTTTCGGGGCCTCCTTTGGGCTTCTTGGATCCTCTTTGGGGAGTCCTTGGGGGCTGTTGGCAGTCTTCGGGGTCCTCTGGGGCGGAGGCCTCGACGTGTGGGTTCGAATTCTCCTCCTGGAGCCCCCTTGGGCCCCTCTTTGTGCCCTCTTGGGTGGTCCTGGGTGCCTCTTGGGCCGTCTTGGGGCCGTCTTGGGCCGTCTTGGGGCCATCTCGGTGGGCTCTTGGGCCGTCTTGGGGCTCTCCCTTGGCCCGTCTTGGTCGCTGCGAAGATTAAAACAAATTCGCCGGCCCAACGGGCCAGGGCGTGCTAAGATCTCCGGTAACTGGTTAACAGTATTAACAGTATTTCTAGTTCGCGCGCGCGGGGCGGCCCCTGGGGGTCCCCCGGCGAAAAGTACCCCGACCAACGCCCGGTCGCCGCCCGACCAAGTCTACTCAGAGATGGTTTTCCTTCTGGGTGCGGCCTCTCAGGCTCCCCAGAGCGCGCTCAGAGTGCCCCAAGAGGCCCCCAAGACTGCCCAAGAGGCCCCCGAGACGCCCAAAGAGCGCTCGAAGACGCCGAAGATGACCCCAAGACGGCCCAAAAGGCCCCCAAGACAGCCCAAGAGGCCTCCAAGACGCCCCAAGAGCCTTCCAAGAGGCCTCCGAAGAGAGCCCCAAGAGGCCAAAATCGTTGATTTTCATTGTTTTTTTCTATGTTTTTTGTGTTCTGGCTTTTTCGGCTTCCGGACGCTCCAAGACGGCCCAAGAGGCCCCCAAGACCGCTCCAAGACGGCCCACGAAGCTCCCAAGACGGCGCCGAAACGACCCAAGAGAGCCCTCAAGACGGCCCAAGTGCCGCCCAAGACGGACCAAGAGGCCCCAAGACGGGCCCAAGAGGGACTCAGGAGGGATACCGAGAACTCAAAAATGGAGCCCTCCGTCCCAGAAGGCGCCCAGGAGGTCCCAAAGAGGCCCCAAGAGGCCTCCAAGAGGCCCCAAGATGTCGCCAAGAGGCCCCAGGAGACTCCCAGGAGGCCCAAAAGAAGCCCCAGAAGGCTTCAAACATGTCTCCCAGGCGCCCCCGAACGGCCTCTCAACAGACCCCAAGAGGCCCCCCAAAGAAGCATCTTGACGACGACTCTATTTCGCCCCATCGAGAGACGACCCCCAGGGAACTGCTTCACCATCAAAACTCCCCACGCAACGCGTCCGAACGACACCCGCCCCCAAGAGCGCAACATGGGCAACGAACACACAGACAAAAACCAGCGATGCCATATCACGGGCCGGCGGAATGAGCGAAGCGATTCAATATTGTGCAAGACATGTGCGTTCTCCTAAGGGGATGAACGGAATGTTCCTCCTCGGGGCCTCTCGGGGTTCCTCTTGGAGCCGTTTTGGGGCGCCTTGGGGGCCCCTCGTCGGGCTGAGGCCTCCCTCGTCCTCCACCCTCTCTCCGTCTCCTCACCTCTGCTCCTCTCCTCCTCCTCCCTCAGCTGTCCCACCTTCCTTCCTTCACATTCCCTGCCCTCCATCCTCTCTCCGTCTCCTCATCTCTGCTCCTCTCCTCCTCCTCCCTCATCTGTCCCATCTCCCCTCCTTCACATTCCCTGCCCTCCCCTCCTCCGTTGTCATCCTCCCTGTGTCCTCCTTTCCTCTCCACGGTCCCTCTCATCCTGGCCCTCCTCGCGATGATGGCGAACATGGCCCCAACCTGCGACGCGAATCGGCACACTGCAAGGGGCGGGGTAGAACGTAACAAGCAAGGGGCGATGCTAATAGATTTCCTGAGTCCCTAAGGGCAACTGTGTTCACGACTCGCCCTTCACGCTGCGCGGATGACTTCGCGTCCTCGGGCCGCCACTCCGCGGGAGAAGAGAAACACGAGGAGGATGAAGACGAGGAATCGCGAATCGCGAGCCGCGAAGACCTTCGCGCCCGGGTGGCGGCCCTTGGTCCCTGGGGCACTTGGCGATCTCCTGCATGCCATCGCGCGTCATGATGACACCAAAGCAGAGCATGAGTCCGCTCAGGAGCGCTCCGGCGATGTCGAGCCTGGGGCATGAACCGCGCCGGTGTGACGACGAAGGCTACTCGAGATTTTTCGCGCGTGCGCGAAGAAGAATGATCGGGCCGGGCGAAGGGGGGGGATAACTTGAGCAGGGACCGACCGTCCCGGCATTCTTATAGTCCTACCACGGAATGTTCTTAGAACCCAAAACTGTTCGAACAACAAAAACAATGTTCTTAGAACATAAACCCGATGTGGGAAAACAGGAGAGTCCCAGCCAGAAATGTTCTAAGAACATTTCGAGGGAACCACCAAAGGTTTTTAGAACATTGTTTGGCAGGGCTATCGGCACGCCAGGACGCTTCGCCACTGCTTGAAAAGGGGAGGGTCGGGAACCGGCTCACGTAGCTGTTTTTCCTGGCGCCTCCCAGCGCCAGACGCGTCGATGTACCGAGGACTGCGAGTGCGGCCAGTGGCGGGGCCGAAGCCAGCTGCATGTAGCAGATTCCATACCCGCCTTCCCTATCCCCGGCCACCTTTCGTCTGAACCGAAATACAAGAGGCAGAGGCAACTTTTACCAGCCTCGAACTTATCCCTATCCCTAAGATTGACACGCCAAAAAGCGATGGCAATCTTAGGGATTCGCCCCCAAAAAGTAAGGGAATCCCTGAGATTGGCATCGTGATGAGGAGATGCCCAGCACAGGGATAGGGATATGTTCCAGGCTGGTAAAATTTGCGCTTACGACTGAATTGCGACGCGCGCTACGCACAGCAAGAGTCGCACGAGCAGATGAGCCAAATGATCGATGACTCTACTCGGCGCCCGCCCCTCCAGTAGATCCCAAAGCCTCGACTGGGTTCGGAGGAACAGCTTCAGCATGGTGGATATTCTACTGAATGGGGACCCCCACTCTCCTCCCTACTCTCACCTCCCTCCTCCCACCTCCCCTTACCCATCTTCGCTCCTTCCTCCTCCATCCCAACCTCGCTTCTTCCTCCTTTCTTCCTCCCTCCCTCCATCCCCGCCGCCCACTCCCTACTCAGGCTACCCCCCCTCCCTCGAGAGACCAGCCTGTACTGCTAGCCTTACGTGCTAGTAGTAAGCGTACGCGGGGCGGGGGGATATCGTTCCCCCTACCTCTATCCTTCCAACGAAACTCATCTAAAAAACCCATTCCCCGACGCTTCCTTGGTAGCGATGAGGGAGGCCGCCGGGGGGCTGTGATCGCCGCTGGGATGGGGAGGACGGAAATGAGGGAGGGGGAGGAGGGAGGGCGACGTAAAGAGAAGGAGGGATGAGAGGGGGAGGATGGAGAAAGGAGACATGTGCGGGAAGGGCTTCTGACACGGCGGGCAAGACATCATGCCTGCGTGAAGCGAGCATGTGGACGGAGAACGGGGGGTGGGAGGGAAATGGGATGATGAGGAGGCGTGCAAATCTCTGCACCACACCTCCCCTCCTAACAATTGATGTGCCCGCGTGTCTAGCGTATCAGATGCCAATACTTCTGCTGGGTGTTTGGCGCTGAGATGGCCACGCCTCAATGTGCTGGCACGCGCGTCCGTCTAGCCTGCAAATATCAATTCCTGATATGCCGGGCCCTCGCGTAATGTTATGAGGGGCGATTCCGACCACCCTTTGCGAAATCGCCTCGAGACTTCTGGAGACCATGAACACTGTCCGCATCCATCTCTCGAGCACCTCTTGAGCATGCCATGCCAGGGTCTTGCGAGGGTAAGAGAAGGCAGTCGGCCCGATGAGGCGCAGCGCGAAGGTGATGCCCAAGAACAGGAGCAACACCTGCGGCCGACGGGGCCCGATAAGCACGCGTGGCGCTCTCCCGCATAGCACTCTCGCCAGATCCTGCCCTCCCCGTGCTCCTCCATGGTGCCACTTCCTCTTCCTCTTCCTCCGCCTCCTCCTCCTCCTCCTCCTCCTCCTCCTCTTCCTCCGCCTCCTCCTCCTCCTCCTCCTCCTCCTCCCCTCAACATAGTTGCCTTAGTGCTGCCCTGTTCGCCAATCATCTCTCGGGTGCGCGCCCCTGTGGCCGCATCGTGTCGCGCCCTCCGTCTCCGCCTGGGGAGCGAGGGGCCAGGCTCCTCGACAAGGACTCGACCGAGGCTGCCTGACCCCCCCTTCGACAGGAGGAGGAGGAGGAGGAGGAGGAGGAGGAGGAGGAGGTGGAGGAGAAGGACGAGGAGGAGGAGGAGGTGGAGGAAGAAGGGGAGCAGGAGGAGGAGGAGGAGGAGGAGGAGGAGGAGGAGGAGGAGGAGGAGGAAGGAGGATGAGATGGAGGAGGAGGAAGGAAAGGAGGAGGAGGAAGAGGAGGGGTACCAGTGCAAACCCACGGCCCATCAACACTATGGCAATCAAGCCTCCCTCCAAGCTCCCTCTTCAGCTTCTACAAGGGCTCCTTCTCACTGAGGGCAGGGCCCCCCCGCTCGTCCGCCTTC